TTTTTTTTTTTTTTTTTTTTTTTTGCGCGTCATGTTCTTCACTGATCTTCAATTTAACCATCTTCTCGTTGAGTTTTTGTCCAGAAGCTCCTCAAGTAATTGTTTTGTCCTGCATCCCTCATTATGCTTATTTGATGCTCATATGCAGATCTGGATGCTTTATTTCGCAGATTTAGTCCGCTGTTTTATTGTCCACTGCGGAAGCATGATCTTCATGTCAAACAAAGGGATCGATGGAGTTCATTCGTGGCATATATCTACTGACAACATTTGGGGTATGTTTCATCTATCGATTTTTTTTTCAATAAAAAGTTAATGATTTAATTTCTAATTAATGCTGATTCTTTTGCGAAAAAATTAAAAAAAGGAAAATTTCACTCTTTTGAAATTCTTAAATATGTAGTATATACTTTTGTCAGACGTGGAAAATTCCACTAGTGCAGGAGAGAAAGGGACAAAACGAAATGGTTTTATTACTAAGGATCTGAATGGGTCACACATTGATTAGAATTATCTGTTTTATTACTTGTTGTGGTGAATTTCTGAGAATGCTGTTAATTTTGTCTTGAACTGTTTTGGCTTGATTTTATCGTTTATTATTTCCATGCCATGGAGTATTTTTAATCGGGACTAAAATGTTCTTTTGAATGAACACATGAGGTTTTCCCAAAACGCAATTGATTGGTTTGCTTCGAATGTTTGTTCTAAATCTCACATTTCGACCCTGTACGCAATCTTTTATTAATTTCTTTCTTGCATATTTTTTTTCCTCACTAATCCGGTTCACTTTGCACTCAATTTCTTTCATCATCATTATTGTTGTTATAATAGTTTCAATTATTTTACTCTAATAGTTAAAAACCTTAAAATGGTTTGTTATTTGTTATTATACGTATAAAAAGTAATTTCTTTTATGAAAGCATTTGTTTTCATTTGCTTTCTAGGTGTTCTATTCTTTTTTTGTGGTTTTGATATATATGGTTCGCTCATGTGACAATGTAACAAATAGTCAAGGTAGCAATGGTTTCATCATTTGCCGATGAACTGATGATTTAAACGCCAAGGCCAGACTGAAGATTACTCCTTTCAGGTTACATCTCCAAAACCTAGATTTGAGAGTTTTATGTTTGTAAATTGAACTTGTATTTGGCCGACAGAAGCGAGAAAAGGTTCTGAGAGGGCGTGCTTCTGTAACTGAAATCTGAAATGCCTCTGAAACTGAAAGCAGAAATGCCTCTGAAACTGGAAAAACTGGAAGGAAGTCTTCAAATGACACTGGAGGAATGATCTTAGACTCATAGTAAGTTCTCAGTATTCATCTCTATCCTAAATTCAACGAAATTTATTTTCTCACAATTACTATTTTCTATTTTTTTTTTCTTAAGAAAAAACTATATCAAATCTAAAATAGAAATGAACTAGATTATAAATTATAAATTAATAAAAGAAAATATGGTTTATGAATTAAATTTATTAAAGAGTATGATCTAGATTATTTACTTTAAATTTTTTAAAAGGAGATTAGAAAAAAAAAATAGTTTGCTTAAATATATCCTGGGGTGCTTGAACCACCTTTTTTTTCTTTAAATAATTTATAATAATAATAATAATAAATAAATAAAAACCCTCGTAACCTTTTGGTTTTCTGTTTTCTTTTACCTATTAGTTCCTTTGTTTTGTTGTCTCCTATTTGAAGAAATTTAAAATCAATAAAGTTTTGAAAATTAAGAAATAGTTTTAAAAAGCTAGCACTTTTTTTTTTTTTTAAATTATAAATCAAATAGTTATTAGATGGGCTTCATTTTTTGGTAATCAATCATATTAGAAATTTTGGCAACATTTGATGATCTTTTAGTTTTAAATTTTTTTTAAATTTAGTTTATAAACACCTTTTAGTTTTTATTGTTTTAAAACTATGGTAAAAAATTATGAGAAACAAACCATATTTTTAAATATAAATAACAAACCATATGATCTTTTTTTTTTTTTAGATTTCTCAAAAAAAAAAGTGAAATTTAAAAAAAGTGAAATTTATCTACTTATTAAATAAAAAATTAATGAATGCAAATTAATAAATGAATAAATAAAAGCATACTGCATAATTAAGAAACTAAAAACAAGAGGCTAGTTAGAGATAAGCATGCAGCAAGCATAATAGACGTTCTTTTTTAATATAAATAAAATTTTAAAATACCATACTAGAAAATAGTAAATTACCATTTTAAAGATAAATTCACATTTATTTTATAGGTTTCTCAAATAGAAATTAATAGTGAAATTTATTTATAATATTAAATAAAAAATTAATAAATGAATAAATAAAATACTACTGCATAATTAAGAAGCTAAGAACAAGGAGCCAGTCAGTGATAAGCATGCAGAAAGAATAATAGACGTTATTTACTTTTTAAATATAAATAACATTTTAAAATAAACTATATTGGAAAATAGCAAATTGCCATGTCAAAGATAAATTCGCATTTTTCTTATAAATTTCTCAAATAAAAACTAATAGTGAAATTTATTTACTTATTAAATAAAAAATTAATGAATGAATATAAAGCATAAAGAAACTAAGGATAAGAAGCTAGAACATGTGGCAAGAATAATAAAAGTTATTTGCTTTTTAAATATAAATAAAATTTTAAAATAGTCCATATTAGAAAATAGAAAATTACCATGGAAAAGATAAATTCACATTTATTTTATACATTTCTCAAATAAAAACTATTAGTGAAATTTATTTACTTATTAAATAAAAAAATTAATGAATGAAAACTAATGAAGGAATATAAAGCATAATGCGTAATTAAGAAACTAAGAACAAGAAGCTAAATCTAATAGTGAAATTTATTTACCTTATTAAATAAAAATTAATGAATGAATAAACAAAAGCATACTACATCATTAAGAGACTAAGGACAAGAAGCTAGCTAGAGATAAGCATGTTGCAATAATAATAGACGTTATTTTCTTTTTAAATATAATTTTTTTTAAAAATAGACCGTATTAGAAAATAGCCAATCACCATGTCAAAGATAAATTCGCATTTATTTTATAGATTTCTCAAACAAAAATCTAATAATGAAATTTATTTACCTATTAAATAAAAAATTAATGAATGAATAAGGAAAAGCAATCTACATAACTAAGAAACTAAGAACAAGAAGCTAGTCAGAGATGAGCATGCAGCAAGAATAATAGACGTCATTTACTTTTAAAATATAAATAAAATTTTAAAATAGACCATATTAGAAAATAGAAAGTAAAGCTTCTTAGTGAGATAAGGCGTCAAAACGTTGTACTTACCAGACGGCTCAAGTTGTTCCTCCATTTGAATTACTTCACCAATAAGCAGGAGGGTATTGCTGCAGCAGCAATAAATGCATGGTGGGATACATAAAACATTTTTCATGTCACCGAATTTAGTTCTCGACCACACTTTATGTCGGCCTTCCTGCACAGAAAAATGAATTTTAAACCATACGAAAGTACTCTACTCTGCCACGTTTGTCAGTAGAATCACTCGTGCACTTTTCCCAAAACCATGTCAAAGGTTTTCCACCGCATTTTTTTCGTTTTCTTTGTGTATATAATAATATTGAATTACCATTAGGGCCTGATCTCTTTAAGTACTTCAAAACCTGACACATATTCATTGTTGCAGAAAACTGTAGTGTCAGTGGAACTGCCACGTTGGTAGTGCAAGCAGTGATGAAATCGATATCCCACCAAAAAACACGATCACTGTCATCGGCGAAGCTGATCCTGTGAAGGTCATCAAGAAGGTGAGAAAGTTCAGAAAATATGCTGCAATTTTGAGTGTAGGGCCTGCAAAAGAGGAGAAGAAAGATGGGAAGAAGGAGAGCAAAAATGTCATAAGTCTTCTCCCAAAGACATGTTGCAAGTGCGATGTCTGATGTGTTATCACCAAAGATGCTTATAGTTACAGCTCCACTATGTGTTTAGGAAATTAGATATGGGTTTAATTTATGGGTAATTTCTTATCTATCTACATTGGCAATCTCTACTACTTCAATGTTCAAAACTACTCTTCACTCTCAATTACAATCCGCGGTAAAAACAATTTCTTAAAGTGTGATCTATGCTTACTAAGATAACTACTTACCTTTTACCTTTTGACTTGGTGTGTCTCGTCAGCCCCTATCAAGCTTTAGACAAATAGGGAGATGTAAAATGGGATAGAATAGGTTTTTTCTAGATTATTGAAGATTGAAGTGTTATTCTATTACTATTTGACTAAAATTTTCAACTCAACTATCAATGATTAGTGGACTCCCAAAATAAATGGTTACCGTGCATGGCCCGCCAATATTAACAATTTGTCATGATGAATTTTTATATTCATCAAACTATGATGATAAAGATGTTTAATATGCTTTAATAATACTTTTCGAGGAAGAACAAAGCTTTAATACTAAAACAGAGGTATTGAAAGAGAACTTTAATAATGCATAAACGAAATCGATGTAGGTAATGATTTAAAATGTAACATTTTTGACCCAACATTATCTACCGTATAATCTTAATCCTTGATTTTAGTTTTTCAAGCACGATCTGAGGCCATCCCTACCCACATCGTCAGATATATGGGCTCTCCAAATAAATGGGCTTGGATAGTTCCACGCAAACCCCTAGTAACCAACTCAATAAAAAGGCTGGTTGCAAAAGGCCGATACCATAACCTTGAGCAAAAAGTCACTCCATGTACTTCTAAACTAAAAAAACCCAAACCAAAAAGGTCCGTCCATCGGCATGGGACTTCGTTCTTGTACGCCGCGAGGAACCGATGCGCTCTTACAAACAGTCGATCGTCGTTGTCGAAGAACTTGATGTGCTTACCGCCAACCAGATGTTTGACTCTGCACATGTTTACTTGGGCGCAAAGCTTACTTCATCCTTGCGAGGACTTAAGGTCCACAAGCTAGAAAAAGAGCAGCGATTGGCCTTGATCATAGATAGGAATCAAGAACTGGTTGACAAATTCGAAGGCGACAATTTTAAGTGGGTTTTGGTTTCTTCGCGAAGAACCACGATGGTAATGCGCATGAGCGGACAGATGTTAGGCAGTTCGAGCTAAGCTTTCACAAGAAACACAAGGATATGGCATTAAGATTCTACCTTCCGCATCTTCCGCGAGAAGCAAATGCCATTAGAGATGAAAAAAAAAAGGCCGTGATTACTGGGGTCCAATCGACCTCAATCACCCAGCGACATTTGACACAATAGCCATGAACCCTGAAACTAAGAAGGCATTGATCGAAGATCGCACTAAGTTCAATGAGAGGAAAGAGTCCTACAGAAGAGTAAGAAAGGCTTGGAAACGTGGTTATTTGTTGTATGGACCACCAAGCACAGGGAAATCAAGCTTAGTTGCGGCCATTGCTAATTATCTGAAGCTTAAGATTTATGATATGGATCTGAGGGAAGTCCAATACAATTCAGATTTAAGCAGATTATTGATTGGCACAGAGAGCCGTTCAATATTAGTAATTGAGGACATTGATTGTTCTGTTGAGCTTCAAGATAGGAGTTCAGATTCAGAAAATCAAACCAAATCTGCTGATGATGAAAAGGTAGGTCCCTGACCTGAAGGAAACTAAATATTTTGTATCCAAAGCTACATGACATATCGAGGAAGCTACTTATCAAATTGTTTGTTGCAATAAGATTACTCAGTATGGGTTATTGAAGATTACTAAGTATGGGTTATTGAACTTCATTGATGGCCTATGGTCGAGCTGTGGAGACGAGCGGATAGTGGTATTGACCATGAACCACCTGGACCGGTTGGATCCCGCGTTGTTGAGACGCGAGCACATGGATCTGCACCTACATATGTCTTACTGCGACTTCAGTGGTTTCAGATCCTAACCTATTAATTCAGCAACATTCCGTCTTTGGATAAAATGAAGAGCTATTGAATAAAGTTGAGGCAATGAAGAGTGACAACGTTACAAGGAACTCGACTGCCAGACCTCAGAATAGAGTTGCTGCTACTGTTACCCCCCTTAGAATCAACTAGAGATTTTTTTACCTAGGATTTTCATTCTCACATTTCGAATTAAGAGTCTAAGACTCCGTCTATCTCTGCTTTCGTATTTCTCATTTACGGATGTTTCTCTCTTGTCATTCCAACTTCCAAGCAATAGACCGAGCTGAATTATTTTTATCATACAGATGCAATCAGAGTTTGTGCATGATATTCCCCTGCTCCTGTAAACTGCCACACGCATCTCCGAAATCGATTTTTCTGTACTATTTTAGATCATGAATTGAGGTTTCGCAAGTTTTTCTCTAAAATTTACGCCGATCACTTAGCGTATTAAACAAAGAAAGATACTATAAGAGGCTACATTTGTCAACTAGACAAATATAGTTCATAAGAGAAAGCACCTGTGGCCTAGATATACCTTTGGCTCATTCGAATTCTCCGTCCTTTTCTACCGCTTCGGACAATCGAAGTTCTTCACTCCTAGTTTTTGTTCTCCCGTTCCAATCATTGGAAAACATCTCCACATAATCCATTACAGATCAACCAGTTTTTATCTGTATCAAAACTTCTTTTCTCTCGTTTTGCTCTTCTAAGTTTTAGTATTCTAAAGTACAGTAGCAGTACTAGTCAAGCGATAATCCGATTGAAGTCCGGAAAGCAGGATTATTTTGATGATATATCATTGCCATAATTTCTCAAGTTCAAGGAACAAGAAAGTTCGATTATCAGAATTAACGAGACAACACGTAATACTACGATAGACTTCGCGGAAGTACACAATGTTCAATATCAATAACATAGACATAATCGGAACCTAAATCTACTCAGACTCGCAGAGATTTATACGCAGTTACAGTAGAAGAACGGAAAAACAGATTCATACTTACCTCGGAAGAGAAGCTGCGCAGTTCCAAGTTGATTTGAAAGAAAATTGTCGTCCGATCAAACTCATACGTCGCGATAAACAAGAATCATCAACTGTATGTCGTACGCTTCAAGAAATAACCATCGCAAAAAGCATGGTAGAGACAGCTTAGGCCGAAAACTTCACGCCGAATCGCATTTTGCATTTTGGAGGGAATAAGACTAGTTCTATTTTTCGCTCCAATTGTGCAGATTAACAATTTTCATTATTTATACTCGGGGGACCTAAGCACACAGTTCTTGCCGGTCCTCCGCGATGTGGGATTCCATCTCTTCCAAATTTACCCTTATTATTTCTTATTATTACGAATATCATATTTTAATCTAATTTTTATTTCAGCGGTCCCTTTAATATGAAGTAGTTTCTAAAATGAAGCTTTCAACATTAATAGACACTCCCTTTTTAGTTCATTTTAAAGCACAATAATCTCACTAAGCAAATTATTAATTTAAATGTATTTCAAGTTGCAAATAAATAATTAATTATATTAAGTAACACATTTACAGCGTGTGTCCATTACAAATTAATTACTCCAGATTAAATAATGAATTTATTTCTTAAATAGTTTTTTTTTTTTTTTTTAATTTCTCCACTCTATAATTGTTTAACTAACAAAAATCATATTTTAAAGGTCTAAATTTAGGCGAGCTACTAGAATGAAAACGGGACTCTTGACTATCAAATTATGTAAGCAGTGACTAACATATAAATAAGCAATTCATGATTGCGAAGCATCAAAGGATTTGGTTATATCATGCATTTCACAAAGAACACATCTGACGACCTGAAACCATCAAGTTCTTCTATCTACGAAGACACACACATATATATATATATAGATATCTATACGTATATTCACAGAGTTTGCTAAATACATAACGCAAGTAGAAAGAGGCGAGAGGCAATGTAATTTAGGCAATGTAATTTACCCACGCAAACCAACCTCGGCCCCGAACAATTACGTTCCATGTACATGTATTCTTTCTCCAGGAGTAACTGAAGAAACATAGAGTATTTTTCAGTCTACATCCTCTTGATTCAACCAAAAAAGTGTGATAGAAATATTGAATATAGAGAATGAACGAGTTTGTCTACCTCTTACGCCAAATTCCTCCTAGCCCTCAGAAGATTGAGCTTGTCCCTCCATTGAGCTGAAATACAGACCAACAATGAGAACCAAATGTATATTGTACAGCTCACACGCTGAATATAATCTCACATCAATGGCAAAATGGGGCTTGTTTTTGTCCTAAAATTGCACTTGTCAAATGGATACCTATGATGATTTTTTAGAACTATCTAAAACAGAACGACAATTACTTGAATAAATACAAGTTTGGATAACATCCTTTTTCGATTGGGTATGGCTTCGACTATTCCTCAAGCCCGCCAATTAGTTGACTCTCTCGACCCTCCCTTTCTCATATCATTTTGTTTGTGTTTGGAAAAGTACAACCCACAAGGTCATCGCATATTAAGCAATTAACTATTCTTGGTCTTTCGACCTTTCACATGAACACCAACACGTTCAACGACTCTCTGGTAAAACATTACTAAAGAATGGAAGCTTCAGTTCTAAATCAAAGAAGTAAAATTCATTTAGAACGCTCATAAATGAACAACAGAATAGGTACCAGCATCTCTGTAGCGCTCTTCAACAGCAGCAATCAGCATATTCCTGATAAGATTGAACTCTTTGGCTTCAGCACAAGGCTGACCATTAGGCCTGAAGACAAAAGAATTCAATTAAATCCCATTTTCTCTTGTCAAATGAACCAGGAGTCTCAAATTGTCAAAATATTTTATTACCTATCCACTTCGGTGAATAATAAGCCATCCGTAGCAGGGGCCTGGGATGGCAGCTTCCCAGTTTCAACAACTCTCATGCCATCACTGTAGGCAAGATACTTGTTCACTTGAATTGGGACCTGCATCAATTGCAAGATGCCTAATATTTGAAAAACATCTAAATATTTCAGCAATTCAACGCCACATACTAACTGAAATATTTCGACAATTCTTTCGGCCACGCAAAGAGGCACTTGACCCGAGTCGCTACACTCAACCAGGAAAAGTAAGCATG